AGAAGAAGAAGAAACAAAATGGCGCGGTGTTGGCTGTAAACAAAGATGTGGTTCTGTCTGCAGAATGATCTGTTTAAACTCTGTGGAGTCCGACGAGGCGAAGAAGAAGCTGTAACTTCCGGAATATAAAGAAGGTTAGCACGATGCTAACTTAACTAGCAGCTAGTGTTAGCTCAACCAGCTAACTTCACTTCCTGCCTCTGTCTCCACATCGTCTCACATGTTGCTGAGATCTATAAACACATCTCATATCTATTGATAGTATCAGTGAGACACTGAGACACACAGCCTCGTATGAAGAAGTGCATTGAAGAAAATATATTTATGGAAAGATCGCAACGACCTGGATTTGATTTCTGTCGAGCAAAATGATAATTTATCAACATATGGTCCTCCACTTGCTCTTAACTAACGTGATATCAGTCATTCAGTGTTTCATGTATTTAATCACACCTCGTCCGTGTCCAGGGAACGTTTAGGTTAGGATGAACTGCAAGGACTGGTTACCTTGATTATTGGTTACCTTTGAGCGTCTCTTTGAACACTTCCAAACTTATTTGTCAATGCTTTTCAAATGTATAATGTTTTCTAAATTATATTAGAGTACAATAATATTAAAAATAATGATAAACCTTATTTACATATTACACAAGTTTAAACAGTGCTTCAGTGTGAGGGCTGGACCCTTACAGCGAGGTCTCACCAGAAATGAGCTGGCTCCTTAAAATCAAAACAATATTTAATGAACTGATCGAAGCTAACAATTGCAATCTGAGTTACACTATATAGTAATATGATCCGCGGAAAAGAGTCCACACACGCTCCAACCAGGAAGCCTGATACCTGCAGGATGAGATGTGATGAACTGCACCAGTTCCTCCTTTGAATCTCCTTTCAGAGTCCTAAAGCACCCACATGGCTGCCTCAGTTACGCTGCCTCAGGCTTAAATCCAGCTGCTCCTCCTGGCTTCAGTCAGCTGACCACCCTCGCGTCACCTATTGGCTGTTGGTCCGTTGCTCCTTCTGCTCGTCCCTCCCTCTGTTAGGCCCCGCCTCTACTTCCTCCTCTGTCATGGTGGTCTCTGTCATGGTGGTCTCTGTCATGGTGGACTCTGTCATGGTGGTCTCTGGAATCCCTGTCTGTCCCTATCGACTATTCTTCACAGTTTAATACTCAATGATTGTCTTTAATGGTTCAACACTTCTACGGTAAACATATGATACATTTGATAAGTATTCTTGCGATGTTCCAAATACTACATGTTTTACAAGTATAAAGTGATATTCCACATACTTACTAACATTCTACTGTCCACCTCTAGCATGCTATAAATCCTACTAAATACACCTCAGTACCATCAGTATGAAAGGAGAGTTAATGTGAACCCTGAGAGGAGGAGACTATTATGGGCTGTTTCAGGTAACAGACTCCTGTGAGCGCTAACCTTCTCGAACCCTCTGTCTCCTCTCTTAAAGAGACACACACACGTTTCATCTCCTCATTCATTCAGCCCACACGTACTACAGTTACTTCTGCTTCATGTTGTCTCATCTCTCTGGACGTTGGAACATTAAATGGTTCTTCTATCTGATCAGTTCTACAAGGAGAATGCAGATGTATTGTAGGAGCCTCACAGAGGACAGAAGCTGATCTGAGTCTGCTGGTTCATACTCTTGATCTCTGAAGCTCAGTAGATGATGTTCTGGTGGCTGTGGAGCTCTCCTCTCCTGGACCCTGAACGCCTCATGAGTCTGTCATGTTTCTGTTGCTCCTCTGTGAAAGTAACAGCCCTTCATCTTCTTCACCATGCTGCAGATGTGTGAGGACCACGTCAGGTTGTTTAACTTACAGCTGTGAACTCTGTGTGTGTGTGTGTGTGTGTGTGTGTGTGTGTGTGTGTGTGTGTGTGAGAGAGTGAGAGAGTGAGTGAGTGAGAGAGCTCCTTGTTTCTAGAATCCTCTCTCTAAGAAGTCTCATTGATGTCTGAATACGTCACATGTTTCAGGGTCAGAATGCAGAACGTAGTTTCTTTACATTATTCATTTATCTCTTGACAGTAGACAGTATTGGATATATTGTAATGTATAGTTTTCTTCTGGTTTCATCAGAATTAACGAGATAAAATGCTCCGTTCAATAACGTTTCATCTTTTCTACGTATGTTCTGTCAGGATCCAGATTCACCTCCAACCAGCTGCTGGTCCACCCCGTCCAGTCTGACCCGGTCCAGGTGTGATGGCGGGTCGAGCAGGTGGGCGTGGTCGGAGGATGATGAGTTTCAGTGTGGAGGCAGTCGGCATCAACAGAGGAGACAGTTTACCTCCATCAATACAACAACCGACACCTCTGTTTCCTGTGAGGGACACTCACGCACACTCACTCACGCACACTCACGCACACTCACACACACTCACTCACTCACTCACTCACTCACTCACACTCACACACTCACTCTCACTCTCACTCACTCACACACACACTCACTCACTCACTCACACACACTCACTCACTCACTCACTCACACTCACTCACTCACTCACTCACACTCACACACTCACTCACTCACTCACTCTCACACTCACTCACTCACTCTCACTCACTCACACTCACTCACTCACTCACGCACACTCACTCACACACTCACTCACTCACTCACTCACTCACACTCACGCTCACTCACTCACACTCACGCACACTCACTCACTCACTCTCACACACTCACACTCTCACACTCACACACTC